TTGCTTCATAAGAGAGGCGCATCCCCATGTCTTCGTGATGGCCTAAGACGAATCTCCATCGAATTCTGGGGTCTCCATTTAGCGGCATCCTTTCCAGGCACACAGGCGCATGACCCGCGGCGCAAATCGCCCTTGTTGACAAGTCGTAATTCTCTCACCCAACACCATTTCTTCCCCACCACCACACATCTGGGACTCTTTGACACTTCGTTCCCAATAATCCTTCTCTACTACACAGCCGCATCTGCATATTCCAGGGCGGTGATCGCTGGAACGCTTCGTTAGCCCGACCCGGAACTGTGGCCGAACAAGCGTGGAAGGTACCCCGCTAAGGGTCGCAACCACTCAGCTCCCCACGTGCCTCCTCTGCGCCTTCTGATCGGCCAGCCCTACCACGGTACCTCGTCAACCCTGCCCAAACATGAAGTTCGGCCATCTCTTTAAGCAGACTCTCCGGGATGAGGGCTTCCCGCCAGAGTGGGTCGACTCGGCTATCTCATACTCGCAGCTCAAGAAATGCATCAAGAGGCTTACCGACGAGCTGCGGCAAGTGGGCCTTGACCCTGCCACCTTGTCCAAACTACTCAAACATGTCGAAGACTACAATGCTTCTACCAAAGAAGACGATGATCAGGAACGACCTTTCGAGTACATTCTCAACCCCGACAATGCCAAGGATAATGCATCGCCCTCGCGCAAGGCATTCCATCCAAAGCTCCTCTTCTACGTCAACGAGTCGAGCGGAGAGGTACTGAGTGCCCAGCTCGATGATGACACCAGACGCAAGCTTCAGATGCTGGCTGTTGAGACGGGCATGTCTGACATGCGCGTCTTGGACGACTCAAAATCGTCACTCCAATCCATCGACTCCATAGATCCATCCAATTCTATAACTACCACCCCGACCAATGCTTCTCGCAACCGACCAGGGTACCGTACAGTCGAGGTTCCCATCACCTCGGATACGGAGTTCTTCACCAGGCTTACCAGTGAAGTTACAGGACTGGAGAAATTGCAGGAGCGGGAGCAGAAGCGAATGAATGTCCAAATCGAAGCATTAGGGAAGCAAGTTGCAAAATTGACGGATCCAGACCGGAGAGCCAACAGGAAAATGCTCACTGCTTGGCGTCAAATCTTTCAGATATACGTGGAAGAAGGCATCTTCTTTGGAACAACAGAGATGGACCACAAATCGCACGACTCGGAAAAGGCCATGGCGAGACTGGCAGGATTCTCAAATAAGATTGCCAAGGCTGGCTTGGTGGAACAACTGAAGAAGAAGGAGAATCTACAAGCACTGAACACCTTCATGCACATCAACCGGGAGATCCTCCAGGGCCTGCGATTCGGTGAGATCAACCATAATGCCATGATCAAGATCCTTAAGAGTAGGTCCCTCTATTTCTCCAACAAACATGCGAATGGTGAACTAACTTGTTACTAGAATTCGACAAACGCACAGCTCTAGGTGTAAAGTCCACATTCCCGCGCCAGGTAGAATACCCAGAGTTCTCGGAACACCTCGCCAAAGCCGTCTGCGCAGAGGTTAATACACAGATTCTATCTCACGTCCCGCAGATAGACGACTATTCTTGCCCTATGTGCATGGAGATCCAATGGCGGCCCGTCAAGCTTAGCTGCAACCATACCTTCTGCATTCGGTGCTTAATTGTGATGCAAAACAATAAGCAATACAACTGTCCGTTCTGCCGCGAGAAGACAGTCTTCGATGCAAACTCAGGTAAGTTTTCATATGGTGTATGAAAGTCAAACACTAACCACATGATAGACAATCTCGATACCGAACAAGCCGCCTTCCTTAAGAAATGGTTTCCAGAGGAAGTCAAGAACAAGCAGCGGTACAACGAGATGATGGCAGGTGTGGACCAGTACGGAGAAGTGTATGCGACTGAAAAGTGCGTTGTAATGTAACGATCGCAACTTTCACGGGTCGCATGCTAAATCTGTGCCAAAGATTCATGCGCGGCGGTTCCTTGTGGTAAGTCATGTCTGCGATTCATCTCAAGAGATGCTTGCTAACGTGTCATCAGGCACATGATTTGATTTCATCTACGAGACATGAGCGCTTTGTCAAGAGCTGTTTTGAGATTTTTACCCCAAAGATACCCAGCACATGTTGTGCATGTACAATAGCCGATAGACTAATTCAACATATCTCTACCACCGCCATGTGTGATTTCAGCTGAGCATTTGATGACGCTAGAGAATGAACTGCATCAGGACAGGGGAAGTAGCTGAGTGGTGACGGACTTCGTGTGGAAGAAACTCCGGAAGGGGATTTGGATAATAAAGTAATAGATAGGTGTATAAGGAAAATCGTGCGGTAATGTGCTGCTACAACAGCGAAGCGCGTGTCTTTCGATCTGTCTTTAGCCAATAGTAAACGCCGTCCCTAGATGCAACCAAGTAATACGCTATGAAAGGAGAGAAAAGAAGATGCCAGTCTGAGGCTCGTTGAAGAAATTATACACTGCGCTCCGGGCTTTCACCCTCGGCGACAACCGCCACACCCAGCCCCCGGTCGGGAGACTGGAGAACGAGTTGCTCATGCCGCCTCGCACGGATGAAGTCCGATACACTTTTGATCAAGATGAACCAGCCAACAATCATCAGACCGTACGCTATCCAGTCACTGCCTGTAATGGCACTCGCTGCGGGTGTCATATCACTGCCCCCTGTGTTTCCACTGCCGACCTTGTCCGGGTCAAAGTCGTGCGCATTCGGGTCGTTTGGAACGCCACCGTCGAATCCTTGTCCGGGGTTATCGTTGCTACCGTTGTTCGGGGAGAGTACGGCGGAGCGGAATCCGAAACCGAACTGCACGAGCGTGATACCGAGACCAGCGCGGGATCCGTTCTTTGCGGCGTGGGTCGTGTGGAGGAGGTAGGTGAGGAGGAATCCGACGAGTTGGAAGGACATGGAGATCATGGCGTTCCAGAGGAAGCTGAAGAGGGAGCCGACGGGGAGGCCTTCGACAAAGACTTCGTCGCCAAAAGTGCCGGGAGCGAGGATGGTGGTTTCCCAGTAGGGTGGTGTCGCGTCTGCGGCAGCCTGTTCGTATGTCTGATGCATGTTAGCGGTGATTCACGCGACTTATCGATAGTCTGATACGTACTGGAGGCTTCTCCTCGGCATCTTCCCCTCTGGTAGGCTTTGCGCTGAGATTTGCCCACACACCACCGTTTCCTCCACCGTACACCCGTCCTGGAGTGGGCGCTTGTGTGTTGAATACTGGCAGTTCAGTCACTCTCCTTTGGATGCCCGGTGGCGCCGCTTCCTCTTCTGTCCTCGGATTTCCCCGCATCAGCCGCTGCCGATCGTCGCGCCCATCGTTATCGTCGTCGTCATCCGAATCCGAGTCGAAGGTATCGGCGAGTGTGCGGTCTTCTTCGTTCGTTATCGGATCCTCGGATAGGAGATGCCGTGATGTGCCGTTTGGTGATGATGCGCGCGAGTGGAAGGAGGGTGGTGGCGAGGCCGGGGGCCACTGCTGGCCGGGTTGCAGCGTCTGGGGAGAGTCTTCTTCGTCTTGGGCGGCTACCTGGATTAACGCATTAGTGCTGTCGTTGCGAAAGCAATATAGGGGTTTCGCGCAGTCGCATGGTGGTCGGGATGGACCGGGGCAACGCACCCTCTCGTAGCCCTGGCTAGGCATGTTGCGCGGATAACCGGATGCGTGACGTGAAGGGGGCGATGGGATATCTGCTATCGGGTGTCGTCAAGGCGGGAGTCGTAGGAATAGGTAAGGCAGCGAGCGTGGACGAGAGAGACGGCGGTTGTAGGAGGGAGGTGCAGGTGGGTGGAGCGTGTCAGGCGGCAGGTGCAGTGGAGGAGGCGTTTCAAATGCAAGTTGCTCGCTTTTGGGCCATGCGACACGGCTGCTGCGCCACGATCCAATAGCGCCTGGACCCTGGTTACCGAAGCATCATCGACTTTGAGACCCGACAAGGTGAAGAACTTCACTTTTTCTCAATTCACACACAACCATGGCGAATACTGTGAGTACACAGCAGTGCATTGCAAAATAGTCAGCTGACATGGTCCAGATAACAAAGCAATACACCCGTCTCCTCGCTCTCTGGCCAAAAGACGCTCTGCGCCCAAATTTACCCTTCACACGCGCAATCGAGCATCATGGCAAACCATTCGGCGTCCAACCCATAACACCTACCCCCGAAGAGGGCGCAAAGCCCCAAGCGCCCGCACCTACAACACCGGCCGCATCTTCGCCGCCTGCGAATCCCAAGCTCGAGCAAGCCCAAGTGAACGCACTATTCTCGTTACTAGAGAACCGATATAGCACAAAGTATGCGCTATCACCGGGTGTACTGAAGCCAACATCTGCGCCGGAGCACTATACCAGACTGATGGAGGAGATCGAGCGGGCGCCTCAGAAGACATGGTGGGAGGCCAAGCTGGATCAGTGGAAGATGAAGATTCGATGGTCTTGAGGAACGAAGTTACGACCCTGTATTATACTGTGAAGAATGTAAATAAGGATAACATGCCATGGACACCCTAACATGCCCTAACTCGCTCTGTCCCGATACGGCAAGGGCGCTTGTCTTTTTATGGTTCACTTTGTTTGCTGCGCGACACTGCGTTCTCACGACCCATCTTCACCTTCACCGAGCCTAGAGACGCTATGAAAATCTGCTCGAGCCATCCTTATTTATCCTGATCTTCGCTCGACTCCCCCTCCAAGACACTGCGACAAAATTGACCACAGCCTCCGATCGACTATCTTCTGCGGCGATGTCGGGACAGATTGAGGAACCGGCGGTCGATTTCAAGTCAGAATATGGGCGAATCCTGCAGACAGACGCCTTCGAGTGACTTCTCCACTTCTCAGAAAGGATGAAATATTAATAGTGCTTAGCCTTTTGGACCTCATCACAGTGGACGTTGGCAAGGAAGGAAGCAAGTTTCCGGTCCATAAAGCTGTGATCAGGAGAAGCTCAAAGTTCTTCGACAACGCCATGAAGAAAGAGTGGGCAGCATCTCGTCTTGATGCGCGCACCGTCACTCTTGTCGACGAAGACCCCGCTATCTTCAAGATCTACCTCCACTGGCTGTACTTCAAGACATTCCCTACTGCCGCTACAAAGAGTACAGGGAGGTTCGACCGTGAGATCTGCATGCTTAGCAACAGCCTCGTCATGGGAGAAATACTCATGGATACAGCCTTCAAGAACGCCGTCTTGATTGTCTTCCGTGACGCCATGCTCAACCAGCCTTTCTACAAGCGACTACGTCCAGGCCCCAGTATAATCAAGACTATATACGATGGAACTCCGGAGGGGTCCCCTGGCAGGCGTTTCATGGTTGATGTGTGGGTTAGAGAAGCGGACGAGAAATGGGCTATTCACATTGACGACATGCCGCTCGCCTTCACGCTGGACTTGTCAAAAGCGTTTATGGCATGTGCGAGGACACCCAATTCAAAGATGACCTCGTGGACAACAAGCATGAAGGACTTCATGGAGACATAGCTCTAGTCATGGTTGGCGGTCTGTGAGAGGGACTTACAAGCGTGGCGTATCGCACACATCGTCACCGCAAAGGTGAATTGTGGAGTCGGAGCAGCTGATGAAGGGATTGGAGATTGCAGAAGTAGTATGCTTCAGGGTGTTCTAGCATTTGCCCCCAAGTAGATGTAATGACATGCAAGCCCGGCTCGCCTGATCTCGGGGGTCTGTCTAACCAGATCTGCGCTAGCCTGTGTTGAGACAAATCCACCTTCCAAGCAACGTCACCCAACTGACCCTCCTGTCTTCTAATTCACTTCGATCGCATCATGGACATAACCCCTGGACGGCTAATTGAGCATCGAGCCTTACCCGCTTTACCCACCGAACTATGGCTCACCATATTCGAGCATGTGGTCACTTACGACACCCACATTTTCAACCAGTCTCTCAAGTATAGAAGAGAACGAACATGTGATCTACAGAGACTGCAATATGTGTGCAAGTCGTGGAAGGTACAACCAATCCCGAATTAACCCACGTTCTTCTTATCTGACCTCTCGCAGGACTTGGTAGAGCCACTTGTCTACCGCCATCTGTCGATCGACGGCAACAACTATCTAGCATCCAACCGCGTCACAGCTTTGGCCCATCTTCTTGACCATCCTATCGACTCCGATGCGCCGAAAGCTTCTTGGGTGCGCTCATTCTGGATCCAAAGAGATGAGGGCGTAAGCCCTACTGAGCCAGCCTTGATGGCGTTGCAAGCTGCATTGCCCACTCTGCTCTCCCGCATGACGAACTTAAGCGAATTGTTTTGTCGTTTTGATCTCCAGCGTCCGCAAATCGCAGCTATTGTACACTCTCACGGCCCACAACTTACAAAGCTGTATATAATCATTGGACGTCGCCTCATCCGTATTCAGGAAGCGCTTTCTCTTTTAAAACATTGCACAGCCCTCAGAGACCTCCACCTGGGGGTTAGAGGCCGGACGCGCGGCTTGGACGATGTTGAATCATCTGAGTTCCCTCATCTGCGCTTGGTCGAGCTGGATGCAGAGTACGCCACTAATGAGCTAATAGGCTGGCTCACACACTCGGCTATGCCCAAGCTTTCAGCTTTTGCAATCCGGAAGCCGCACGATAGCTGGAGGAAATTGAGTAATCTGCCTGCTTTCATGGCAAAGTACGGTGCCGGCTTGAGAATGCTGCAATTTGACGATAGCCAACTGGCCAACATGTCCGAGGTCTTTGATCACACATCCTCTCTGGAAGTATTTGATACTTTCGATGCCACAGGGCCTCTCTGTGATGTCCCTGTATCAGTCACTCAGATTGTGCTTCGTCGGTTTCCAGAGAATATTGGTTACGGAGTTCAAACTCTAGAGTCATTGCTTCAGGTCGTCGGGTCGTTGCCGCCGGACAGGAAGTTACATGCCATTCGCATGTGTTCAATCAACGACGATCTCGAAAGAAAGCCATTTCTCTGGCGAGAGAAGATGAAAGTGGCGGACACGAGAAGGATGGAAACCTGGAAGAGGTTTAGGTATAATGTGAAGAAAATGCTAGACCTGGGCGTTTCACTTCTAGATCAACAGGGTGTTGCTCTCGCAAACGTCCTCATAGAGATGGGGGAGTTTCCAGAAGCGGATAGTGAAGAGGAAAGGGATGAAGAGAACGACGTTTAGGAATACTCGCGGTGTATGAATGATATGTTTCAGCAATCACCCTACATGGCCCGCGTAAAACCCTCACACTCTACATCCCAGTGCGACGGCCATACTGGCCCTTTATACCCATCCCAGCCACCACACATCATCCCCACCGCAAGCAGTAAGCCCGCTGAGCTCGGAAAATACGGCGTAGGCACTCTTGTTCCCCCCTCTGGCATTCCTACTTCATCAAAAGCATTGTTCACGTCAAGCAACTGACTAACAGCGCGTTCCGCATCTCCTCTCCTAGCTTCAGTGATTGCCAGCAACGGGAAATCCCAGCCGTAAGAAAAGGGAAAGTTCCAGGTCTCATGTACTTTGGTGATGGTGTTGTTGAAGATTGTCATGTTCACGCGAGTGTCTGGGGGCAACCAGCCATATATACCCAGAAGTCCTGGATGATCTTCCGTATATTCGGGGGTAGTCCACATATTTGGTATACCCTCATACGTCACATACGCGTTCTCTTCAATGGGGAAAGGCGCTAGGTTGTCTCGTACGTGTACCCAGGACTCCGGAGTAGATTTGTTTTGCCGCGCTTGCCACTTCGACGCTACGTCGAGACCAAAGCGCCAGTACGCTAGCTCGAACGTCGGATTAATCGTCTCGTTGGGATTAGTATTCTCAGAGACTGGATACATGGGCGGCCCAAGATCGTATTGATTCGTTGTGGAATTCCAGAAGGCATAACTGGCCATGAAGTCCGCCACGCCTGTCAGAACCTCATCCCATTTCTCGAGAGTCTTTTCGGTCGGGAAAGATCGGTATTCCATCTCGGCGAAGTACATGGGATGCGGTTGTTGCCAGATGAGTAGGCTGTTGATCTCGCCTGGCGCAGATCGACCGCTTGGGTCACTCATCTTGCCGAGGCGCGCGCCTTCGTATCCTTGCTTTTCAGCCCGTTCGAAGCTGCTGGGTAGAAAGCGCTCATAGACGCCGATACTGCGATCATAGAGGTCCCATTTCTCCCAGAACATCCAATGGGCTAGATGCCAGAAGACCATTTCCAGGTGAAATTTGCCGTACCATCCATTGTTCACCAAGCCAGACTCTTGTGGGGGATCTTTACCAGCCCCGTTGACCGCGAGAAGATACTGAGAAAGGATTGTGCGACGCTGTAGCTCATTCGCAGAGGCATTGTTGGCCGATGGAAGTGACACGAATGCACCAGTCGACCAGTAGTCTGCCCACCAGCTTTGTGACTTTTGCTTGACTGACTCTGCAGTGTAAGAGACATTGGCCACCCAAGGAGCGTATGTAACAGTGAAAGAGAGCGTCTCAGATCTCTGACTGGCGGCTAGGATGTATTTGTGCTCGTTTCTGTGCAGGCGCGAGAGGCGGGCATAACCTTCCCAAGCGATATCGGCCGTATATGTTGTTGCATCTAGTACATGCGTGATTGTCGCACCTTTGTTCCTGTATTCATCCGTCGTGGAATGGTTGGAAGTAGCGTTGAAGAGACCAACAAATGGTGCGTCGAACTTATTTTTCCCAGTCGCATACGGGAAATCGAAGAAAGCGCCCAGTCCTGCAGTCCTCACTAGGCTGGACGATATGTCTACAGCGATAGTGTCCGTTTCCGGACTTGCAACAGTTGTCACCACAACCTTTTCTCCGTTGATAAAGAAAGTGGATTTGATGACACCTTCCCAGAGCTCCAGCACCTGCTCTTTACCAGCAAGTAGGTCTTCGGTGACGTTCCCTCCTGCGATGCCGCCGAACCACAGTCCAACTCTTCCCAAATTAATACGATGTGGGTTCGCAATCATCCATTGACTGATGTCCTTCTGTTCTGGGTTGGGCTGCGCATAGTTGACGAGGCGATCGTGGGTCCACCAGTCAACACCGGTGTAGTCTGATGGAAGCGTTTGATTTGGTGTCGTTGGCAGAGATTGGTTGTGCCATCCCCAGGATGAAAGAGTATTGTGCGGCAGAAAGGTCTGGAGTCCGGTAATGTCTACACCGAACGCGAAGTTTCCGTTGCCAACCTGAACCGGGCTGTATGGGTTCGATTGGCTGAGCTTGATATTATACTGCTGGACAATCGACTTGCGATCGATTTTGCTCTCCACGACAGGCGATGTGAGAGAGAGTAAATATAGAACTTTGGCCCACTTCCCCAGTCGCAGTGGAAACATCATGGCTTCGTGATTCGTTAGCAACGCTTCTACCCGCTCGTCTTTATATAGCTTATGACGGCATCCTCTCCCGCCCTACTTTGATTAAGTCCCCGGTTGATCGTCCCCAGCGGCGGGGTCAACCTTTGATTGCATAGCGTCGGGATAAATACCACCGAACACGATGAGAAACAATCACGTCCTGCTACACATCAGCAATGCGATGAGTGATCAACCGGTGATGTGCGCAACCGAGAATGTGCCCAGGTGGGGCTGTGGACCACCGGCACGTGCACGCGCGTAGCACGCTAGTAGGCTTATCGATAACGATCTTGGGAAGAGCGGAAAAGTTTTGGCAACGTGAAACGCGGGTTCCAATCGCAACAACGAAGATGTCCAACGGAAAGAGCAGCGAACCAAAAGTTGACAGCGCGAAGGACCTCCCCGTGGAACTGAAGAAAGGCAAGAAGAGAAAGAGAGTTCAGCCAGCGAAAGATGGCTGGAGTGGCAAGAAGGGAGCCGGCGTGTTGATCAAGTTCGACCATTCCGATGATGACACCCCCAGTTCTACTGCAGAGCACCCTAAGCCCGTCGCCGAGCCCAAACGAACGGAAAGTGTTGTCGAAACTCCAGTTGCGCGGCAAGCAGAGGCCCACAAGCGCACGAAATTAGATGCACCTCAACCTATCAAACCTCAACCAAACCCCGGACAACAAGCTCGACCAAAGAACCAACAGGCCGACAGACCTCGTACCTCTCAACAAGACTTAAGAGTGCCGTCGCATGTCATTCAGAAGCGTGATGAGTTGCGGCTTGTCCGCAAGTCTCTTCCAATATGGCCTCAAGCGGACATCATCAGAGCAGCTCTGCAAAGAAACAACGTCCTCGTGCTGACCGGAGAGACTGGTTCCGGAAAATCGACACAAGTGCCGCAATTTTTGGCCAATGAGTCCTGGTGTACCGGGTGTATAGCGATCACGCAACCTCGAAGAGTGGCGGCGATCTCCCTGGCACGACGCGTCGCGGATGAGATGGGTAGCTTACTTGGCGACAAAGGCCCTACTGCCAAGGTTGGATACAGCGTTCGTTTCGACACTGCGGCTGGAAAGCACACCAAAGTCAAGTTTCTGACGGAGGGTATGCTGCTTCAAGAGATGCTCAGAGATCCCAACATGTTGCAGTACAGCGCGGTTGT